AGGAGAAGCAACGCCGCTTGAACTCTCTCCTGAAGCCCTCTCGTTGTGGTCAGCAGACCGTGGACATTGGCTTTTACTCCCGGAACATCTTACCGTATGCAAGATTAGACGAGAGCTCGAAAGGGAGGATTGAACAAAATGTTTTTTTAAAGGAGTAACAATTTAAGACGTGGCTACATCTCCTGGGGAATGAGCAAGGGTGGACAGTTGCTCACGAGACGTCCCACTCTTCAGCGGTGTTCACTGCACCTGCACCACGGGGGTGTCTCTGGGGGGGTCTCCCTTCGCTGCGTAAAGTTTCGCGTCGATTTTGTTTAGCCAGGCGAGAACTCCAGAGACCTGGAGGAGTGACGTTTGCAAGAAATGTTTCAGGTCACCAAATTGAAAAGAGCATACATTTTTATTTAAAGCTTTCGTGACTGCAGTGATTCATATTCTTGGTTCGTTCGGTAAAGTCACGTTGAAGGGAAACAATAAAATAATAAAATATATAAAATAATAAAATTCTCACGACGTTTCGACTGTAACACAAACAGTCATCATCAGGTGTGAAAACCAACGGCAAGAACATTTGAAAGAAGTGGCGGTTTGTATTTATTTATTTTTAAACGTTAGCACCACGGATAGCGATTTGACAGTTTGTTTCGAGGGACGAGTCCATCTATGTTCGGAAAAGAGGAGGGGGGAGACGAAAATTTTATGTATGCAGTCTGAAAGCCACCGTAAGCGTGAACAATCAATTAAGACCTGAAATGGTGTATCAAATCCTTCCAATGATTGCTAAGCCAGAATCCATCTTCTCGGTTGAAATTGTCTCTGTGCTTGTATATGTGGATTAGCCTCATGAACGAATCTCTCATGGTAGCCCGATGGCTTGCAAAGAACCTCTGTCTTGGAGAAGTCAATGTCATGTGAGGCTACTGAATTATAACAATGATCTGCCACGGCGGAGGTGTTGGTTCAACCGTGTTTAAGGTCTGCTTTGTGTTCACGAATGTGGTCCGAGACGTCGTTTGGTTTCTCCAATGTAACTACTACCACAGAGGCAACTTAATTTGTAGACACCAGGGTACTGTATGTCCGGAATCACATCTTTTACAGAAGGAACCAGATCACGGATTGTATGTAATGTGTTGAAACGGACCTGGATCTTGTGTTTATTCAAGATTTTGGAAATCTTTTTTGTGATCCCCGCAATGTAGAGTAAAGTGATGGTTTTGAAAGGCTCCTCAAGAGGGTCCATCTTCATGGTTTGAGTGATAGCTTTGCGGATTGTATAGTCGGAGTAACCATTAGCCTTAAGAGCTTGGTGTACGTGCTTGAGTTCACTGCCTATGTGTTCCTGGTCGGATATGCATAACAAGTATGTTGAAATTCTTGGTTCTTTCGGTAAGTCACGTAGAAGGGAAATAATACAATATTGTTTAATTATTGTATTGTTTCCCTTCTACGTGACTTTACTGAAAGAACCAAGAACATGAATTCCTGCAGTCACGAAAGCTTTAAATCAAAATGTATGTTGAACTTCTTTCGCACCGTACGTAGCCGAGCGTTGTAATCGGAGGTGCGGGGGAAGGACAACAAACTAAACACACAGAGCAGTAAAGTTAAATCAAGGACAACAATGGAACAGAAAGGAATCGGAGCTAGAGCAACTGTGTCGTCATATGAGACATTGGTAATCATGCAGAGATGTAAACCAATGTTAAATAATACATCTCCAATGGTGAAAGTCGCCTTATTTCAGACTCATTATCGTCCAATTACAATTAAGTTGCATAAACACCTCCGATTAGCACGGTTGGCCACATACGGTGCGAAAGAAGTTCAACATACATACATACACAAACATTTAACAGACTAGCCTATAGCTCGTCCAAGGACGGGTAGATTGCATCCATTCGTGTGCAGACCTATTTCATTTAAAGGTTATAATCCCTTGTTCATCACGACGTCCTTTTTACTGTGATGTCCCAACAGCGTGACGGAGATCACGTGACGTGAGGGTTCTGCCTTTGTAGTGAGGGTTGTGAGTTGACGCCGAGGAGGGGGGAGGAGGTGCCTCGCCCCCCCCCCCCCATGTGGAGTGACGTCACCCGCTAATGATTATTAATGAGGGGAGGGGGGGTCCATTTGGAGGACGTCACCTGGTCATGATTATGAATGAGGGGGGGGGGGTTCTCCGTGTGGAGTGACGTCAAACGCTCATGATTATTAATGAGGGGGGGGGGGAGCATGTGGAGGACGTCACCTGTTCATGATTATTAATGAGGGGGGCTGGTCGACGTGGAGTGACGTCACGCACGTTACACACAAACAGACATTCTTGGCTCATCATAGTAGTAATGTAAGCTGGCCTTTGTACTATTATATAAGCAGACAATGATACACATCAAATCCAATTCCAAGTGAAGTTATGATTTAAAAAAAAAAATCGACAGCTTCATATCAAATTGTGATTAAGAAGGGAGAGTAGCCAGCAACGCTTTTCCAGGTGGCTAGGGCATTAACAGAGAATAAGTGCTTTATATTACACATGCTTTAATAGAGAGGAGAATAATTCGAGTCATAAATCAATTGAAGCCAGGGTTGTAAGGGACTAAACAGTTGCAGTGTGAAAACAGCCATGGCACGTGCAATGACGTGAGATGGATTTGCGGTGACATTATTTGTATGCATGTTGAACTTCTTTCGCACCAATCGTAGCCAACCGTGCTCATCGGAGGTGCGAGGAAAGGACGGAAAACCCACCACAAAAAAAGCAATGATAGCAGGGCCACGTGATCAGTTCTTCTTTCCAACTTCTTTCCAACAGTTACGGGCGAGGAAAGATCTCCCCCAAGAAGATTCACTCGCTCTAACCGTGGGAATTTAACCTCCGGACGTTTCCACGTCGAATCGTGAGGCCTTTAATTACTGCCGGTCCCACGCGTCAGTTCCCTGGAGTTACTGCTCGGGAGTTTCCAACGATGGGCATGCTGTCCTCTCATCCAGATTAATCGAGCCGGGTTGCCACTCTGACTGTCTCTATATCGGTGCAACGACTGAAGTCCTCTCTGTACACACATACGTATCGTAGATGGCACGGGGAAAGGTATTCAAGACAACGGAGGCAGCTGCAGACAAGCAGCGATCGAACTCCCATTTACGGGAGGCTCACTGGAGGGTTTGAAACTTGATTGGGAGTCAGCGGAGGAATCTGAACATCTGGGTGATGGTGCTGGTGAGTAGTCTGATGGTAGTATTGGTGGTAGCACTTGCCCCAACAGACTATATAGGCTATACGGGGGGGGGGGGGAATCTATGTCTTTGGAAACATTGTAGATCTATTGGAATCTGAAAGTGAGGTGTTGGGGAGGCCACAGAGGAGAAATGTCCAAAAGCTGTCAGAATTTAGCAGCGGGAGGACACCGGGCCGTCACATCGAGTACCCCAAGTCGCTGCCCAGCACGTGGTTCAGAGCAGCCAGCAAGCAGGGGAAACCAACAGCACCATGCTGTAGCTCTCAAGCTGGGTCTCCATCCGTGGCAGTCTTAGGATTGGTCTATACGTGATGTACGAAACAATAGCACAATTGGCTCAATAGGGTTTGCCCAAATCACAAGATGATGCTTTTATTCGTACGAACATACACACACACTCACCAGTTAACACAACCGCATCACCCCAATACTGTACTCTTATTTATACACTGACTCAAAATCCAGTCCGGCACCAACTCGAATATTTTCTGTCACAATTGACTCTGTGGGGTTTGCTCAAATAGCGAGGTTAGGGTTTTATTCGTACATAAAAATCCCGTATTTATACACAAACTCAAAAATCCAGTCTACAAGATTCTCCATAGACGGCGACATTGCCAGTCTCTCCTCCTCTCATCTCACGCCTCCGTTATGGTCTCTCTATTTACTCCACCAACGAAGGATTCTTTCTCACCTCCCTCCCCTTCCCCCGTCAACCTGCATCCCCATCGCCTGGTCTGGCATTCCCTCTCAACAATCATTCACATCGCCAAGACTGAAGTGAAGGCTTAAAGCACCTGACTTTTCTTCAAAAGCCTGAGGATGAATGTCTCCTCTCTGTGAAGTGTCTTCATTGTACGGTACTGTGCCCTTGCTGGTTCCCTCAACGTGCATGTCCAATTATATTGGACAGGACTTTCGAGATACCTTAATATATATAATTCAAATGATATTGTATCGAACACAAATCCCACTTCATAGCTGCCCTTTCTTCCCCATTTTAGCCGTCAGAAATTTTGGAGAAGCAACCCTCAAACTGGTGGCTTTATTGAGCGGATGTTTGATGTTGCAAATGTAGCAGATTTGAGTTTTGGATTCGTTCAACTCGAGATATTTTTAACCGATCGAAAATTAAGAATACACCGGTTCAGATTATGATGACCACAGCAAACAAACCAATAACAAACAGCTGCCTCGCCTTCCGTTTACATTCCTGAGCCACCAAGACGCGCACTATGCCACGATCATTCTTGGTTCTTTCGGTAAAGGCACGTAGAAGGGAAAAAAAAATTATGCCATGCTCGTTAATCAGAAGCGCTTTTGACATTTTGACTGTAATGCACGGACGGTGATTATATTACACAGACTAATCATAGCCCCACGTAATCGCATTTGTATCGATGATACTAAAAAAAGTACAGTGTAATGTTTTTTGGTTCTTTGTATTCAGCTGGCGGCAGTTTCTCTGAATGTATTCAAGTGTTCGAGGCTTTTGTTGATACATGTACCATGAGTTCCAATTCAAAAATTGCATTATTGGTTCGTAGCTAACACTCAAATATCGTATCGAAAAGTATGATTTACAATAGCCAATTTACACTTATGATTTGAAGTACAGTATAATTGAAAAACAAGAAATAATTGACATTTTTTTGCCGAAAGCTTCTAAACATTCAAGATTTCAAATACTTTATGAAATGTAAAGTCAGCCTAAGCTTTGCAAATTAAACGTGCCCATTCGCTGTGAGGGTGTGCAGAGCTTGCAGCTGACGTGGCCACGTGACAGGCGCTCTTCATGCCCCCACGCAGTTGTCCGTGACGAGGAGCCCTCGATGGCAACGCTGTGAAACGCGACAGACATTCTCTGTAAAGCGTTGCGTGCCACAGAGGGCGGCGGGGCAGCAGCAGCAGCAGCAGCAGGAGGAGGAGGAGGCCGATGTGGTGAAAGGAGGAGCATGCTGCGGCTAACGGCGTGGTCATCGCTCGCGTGGCGAGGCTGCCTGCTGCTGTGGACCCTCTGCTGCCCGCTGCGCGGCTCTCCGCCGTGCCCCGGCGCCTGCAACTGCACGCTGGGAGCGAACGCGCAAAGGACCGTCAGCTGCAGCCACGCGGGCCTTAGCCACGTCCCCGACGACCTGCCCGCCGACACCGCGGTGCTTCTGCTCGACGGCAATCGAATCGGAGCGCTGCCCGCCGGTCTCTTCCAGGGCCTGGGCCAGCTGCGCGAGATGAACCTCTCGGGCAACGTCATCCAGAGCGTGAGCGCGGCCGCCTTTCCCGAGGGCATCACCTTCCTCGACCTGTCCGCCAATCGACTGCTCAGCCTTCCCAGGGAGCTCAAGCAACTGAAGGCGCGCGTCCGCCTGGACGGGAACCCCCTGCACTGCGGCTGTCAGCTCCAGGAGCTCTTCGCCGTGCTGGACGTGGACGCGCGCACCGCCAACGGGGTGCTGTGCGCCACGGCCGTGGTGGACAGCGCCCGCGGGAGGCCCTTCTTCGAGGTGATGGAAAAGATGAACTTCTGCAACATGCCGCGCAAGACCACGGACGTGGCCATGCTCGTCACCATGTTCGGCTGGTTCACCATGGTGGTCACTTACATCGCGTACTACGTGCGCACCAACCAAGAGGACGCCAGGCGTCACATCGAGTACCTGAAGTCGCTGCCCAGCGCGCAGTTCAGAGCAGCCAGCGAGGGGGATACCCACAGCACCATGCTGTAGCTTGCTGAGCAAGGGCACCTCTATGCGTGGCAGTTTCGGGATCGGTCTGCACGTGATTTACTCAAAAAGAAAAAAAAAACATAGCACAATTGACTCGATAACTTTTTTGCCCAAATCACAAGACGATGGTTTTGTCCGTACAAAACAAAGGCAAAGATCCCCCGTATAGCCTTGACAGACTGTTGGGGCAAGTGCTCTTCGCGAGCAGCACCTATGAAGGGCGCCACGGTACACGAGGGGGTGGATGGCCAGCACCACGCCCGGCTGCCTTTGTCTCCCCAGTGGCGATGTTTACACACCGCACCAGGTACTCATTTGAGGCTGAGTCGACCTAAGAGAGGCCCACGATCGGTTCAGATAATCGTCACTGGGCATTGGTCGTAGCGCAGCGTAGCGCTAACCGCTACACTTTATTCGTACACACACACAAATAAACACAGCCACATTGCCCCAATACTGTACTCACATTTATACACTGACTCAAAATCCAGTTCGGGACCGACTCGATTATTTTCTGTCACAATTGACTCTGTGGGGTTTGCTCACATCAAAAGGTCAGTGTTTTGTTCGTACAGAAACGTCCCATATCCATACACAAGCTCAAAATCCAGTCTGCAAGATCCTCCATAGACTGCCCTGCTTGCCGGCCTGTCCCCTCTCTCTCCCCGTGATGTCCTCTCTCCTCCACCCACCAATGTTTTCTGTTACCCCCCTCCCTCCCCGTCAACCCGCATATAATGTGAGGGGCAGATCGCTTATTTCCCCCCCTCCTCCTCCCCTGGTCTGGCATTTCCTCTCAACAATCATTCACATCGTCTAGACCCTTCCTTGCCTTGTTCACCATCAAGGCTTAAACTTCAACTTTTCTTCAAAGCCCAAGAATAGCCGTCTCTTCTCTGTGAAGTGTCTTCGTTGCACATTTACTGTGCCATCGTCTCACTCCGTCTGCCCTCAACCACATTACCAAAACAACAACAACAACAACAGCAAAAACCTTCCGTCTTTGCTGCTTCCGTCCAAGTGCGTGTCCACTTATGTTCTACAGGGTTTTGAGATACTTTTGTATCATTCAAAGTATATTGTATCAAACAAACAAACGAAAATCTCACTTTATATCTGCCACGCGGGTCCGAATACACTGATTGGCTACGTTGGCTGAATATAACATTAACAGGAGCACGCCCGCAGCATAAGGCAGGGTGTGCTGGCTTCAACTCAGGTTGATAACTTGCTTGTACCTTTCAAAGTTACGGTGGCGAGATGTTAACTACCTCGCCCGGTATACAGGAGGTCGTGGGTGCGATCCTAACCACTGACACCTGTATATTTGGAGTTTGCATGGTCTCTCTCTCTCCCCGTGGTAGCGTTGGTTTTTCACCGGGTCCTCCGGACTTTTGCCCTCCACATTTAGAAACATGCTTTTAGAGTATTTGGCTGCTATACAGTTCCATGTGATAAGCCACTTCGTTGAGCTATCTTTTGTGGCTAGGTGGCTTCTGAAAAAGAGCCACGTAGTAGCTCAGTGCGACTTACCTGATGAAATCAAATAGTTCCGTTGAAGTTGAGTTTTATAATCAAGGATGGTTTGCGATGAAATGCCGATACAGTATCACATGCGCAGGTAGTCCAATGATCTCTGCTGGTATATTAAAAACTGTTGACAGAAATAATGTAAAAAAAACTATACATCGTTCTCTGACGTGTCGCCAAGATGTTCACATATTGCATCGGTTCTTTTCAGTGGTGGTGTTTTGACGGGGTTTGTGCGTTGTGTTAAAAGTCATATTTTTGTAATTTTGACTGTATCAGTGGATATGTTTAAAAGAAAAGTAACTGCAACGTTGCAGTTAATGTTGCCGTCTGACTGATTGTGATCGCCCAGTCAGAATTCAGCTTGTGATTAGAGTATTTGCCGGGTTTTACGCCTTTCGTGTCACTTGATGTCGTGCATCATAGACACACGAACACTTATATTGCCCTTACATTACAGTATAACAATCTTACAAGGGATATATTGCTATTTTATGGTAATATTTTTCTACACTAAATTCACACGGTCATCCCATCCAGGTGGCTCAGCAGGAGAGCGAGGGGACAACACAATCTCAATGTTGGGTGTCCAAAGCACGCTTGGGGGGTTGACTGAACCCATCATCCCTCTGGGGCTGATAAAGTGAGTACCACTTCGTTTGGGAAGTCAGCACTAGTTGTCCTACGGATAGACTCGCCATCCACCATACATATGTGGACTTTCTACCATTGGCTCAGGAATGTAAACGTGAGATTAGCAAGGCCTCATTGCTCATTGGAGCAGGAAATCACTAACGTTGGACTAACATGATAACTGTTCTGTACATTGCCTTAACTTTCAGGGGCTTCTATACCACTCTCGACCTTTATGTAAATGTTTGGCTGGCTCTGTCTCAAGGAAAAGGCCTTAAATGGGTGAAATAGATTGGCGTCTCTCATGCTGGAGAGTGCTTCATGTTATCCTGAACGAAGCTCGTGGGCGGAATGATTGCATTGCATTTGTCAGAAAATAAAAGTTCAATTTCTAAAATGTGCTTTTCTTTTGTCAACCTCACTCAAGCAGCATTGGCACGATTTATTTTTAGCATGAGCTACAAAGTAAGACATATATTTTTGCGTATTGTACATTTTTGTATCTCGTATGGTACGCGTATGTTTTTTTGTGTTTAAAGCCCACTGTGGGAACATTGGTTATTAACAATTGCCTTTTATATATTACAACATACATTTTTGGAAGTATTTTTTGAAGTGCCTCACTTCATTCTTTACTCTTATTGATTAGGTCAGCAGTTCTCACAACGTGCCTATAACAATTTTTGCAATAGTGGAGCAATCGATAGTGTTTATATTTCCTGAAATCGACTTGTACACAAATGAATCATACACTGCAACAAATAGAGCAACATTTTTATGAATCATACACTGCAACAAATAGAGCAACATTTTTAGTCTGCTTACACGGTTAACGTTTAGCATTAATTTCAACCGTTTCCACGGCAACCACACCTTTACATAAATAAATACAATATGAACACACTCCTCAACAATACTGTGCACTTAAAAAAACTAAATACACAATCGGTGACGTTTCAAGCAATTGTCCTTCTTCATAGCACAGGGGGCCAAAGAGTATTTTCCCGAAACGTGGATGACTTTATATTTTTTCTTGTCAAGGCAAGTTTTGGTGGCGAGTGTGTTGAGATTACTAAATAATTCGTTTGCATCAACATGCTAGCGAATACAATTACAACATAACCAAGGACGTGTCTTTGAAGATACAAAAGTATTTAACATATGCAATATTACTCATTCTGGTGGTTAGGAATTCGAAAATCGCCATACACAGTAAAAGGTATTACATAGTAAAAGGTATTAAATAAAATGCCAACATTTGACGTGGTTACACTCGGATAGGGCCCTTTTGGATTCTTGGCACCCTGAATTTCGATCACTGCCGCACTGTGAGGCACTGTTAGATTCTTCGATACTGTTCGATACTGTTATATTTTTAGATACTATTAGATACTGTTAAATTCTTAGATACTGTTAGATACTGTTAGATTATTAGATACTGTTAGATACTATTAGATTCTTCGATACTGTTCGATACTGTTAGATTCTTAGATCCTGTTCGATACTGTTACATTCTTATAGATACTTATTCTTGTTTCTTCTACGTGACTTTACCGAAAGAACCAAGAATATGAATCCCTGCAGTCACGAAAGCTTTAAATTGATTCTTAGATACTGTTAGATACTGTTAGATTATTAGATACTGTTAGATACTATTCGAGTCTGAGATAGTGCTCGATACTCTTAGATTCTTAGATAATCTTAGATACTGTTAGGTTCATATATACTGCTAGATGTCTTAGGCACTGTCAGATACTGTTCGAATCTTAGATACTCTTCGATACTGTTAGGTACTGTTAAATTGTTAGATACTCTGAGAATGGTAGATACTCTTAGATTGTTAGATACTCTTAGAGACTTCACTCGGCACGCTCAGTGACTGCCACAATTGTTTCGGTGCCATGCGTGTGAGCCACTGAATAGTCGGTGTGCGTGAGTGACCCGAGTGAATTACGTTGAGTGCGTGTGTCATTTGACTGAGTCGAGTGATCCGTGCGAGAGGTTTGTTGGGTTAGATCGCGAAAATATATAAATGTGTCGTTAAGCCCGCCGCCACTCGACACAGCCAACTAGTAAGGTATATCACGTAAACAGAACGTGGCCAATTCGTCACTAGTACAGCACTAACCGGTGTGTCGGAGAGCCAAGCCACAACATTTACAATTCGAGTACGACGTTTCGCCAGTAATAACAACTAGCTTCATCAGGCAGCAGCTCATCGGATTTATCCTGCAGTCGAAATAAAAGATTCCGATTCAGCCTTATGATGGCAGTGCTGAATGAATAACTCATTTGAACGTTTTGTTTACGTGATAAACCTTACTAGTTGGCTGTGTCGGGTGGTGGTGGGTTAACGACACATTTATATATTTACGCGATCTAACCCAAAAGCCTCTAATATGGATACTGCATGTTAAAATGAGTTGGGTGAGTTGAGTGAATCCATTAATTGAGTGAGTTGAGTGATTTACATGAGTTGCGAGAGTTTGAGTGAGCTGCGTCAGTGAGTTGTGTAAGCCGAGTGAGTTAAATGAGTTAAGTGAATTGCATGAGTTGAGTGAGTGAGTTGAGTGAGTGAGTTGTGTGAGTGAGTTGTGTGAGTGAGTTGAGTGAGTGAGTTGTGTGAGTGAGTTGAGTGAGTGAGTTGAGTGAGTGAGTTGTGTGAGTGAGTTGTGTGAGTGAGTTGTGTGAGTGAGTTGTGTGAGTGAGTTGTGTGAGTGAGTTGTGTGAGTGAGTTGAGTGAGTGAGTTGAGTGAGTGAGTTGTGTGAGTGAGTGAGTTGTGTGAGTGAGTTGAGTGAGTTGAGTGAGTGAGTTGCGTGAGTGAGTTGAGTGAGTGAGTTGAGTGAGTGAGTTGAGTGAGTGAGTTGTGTGAGTGAGTTGTGTGAGTGAGTTGTGTGAGTGAGTTGAGTGAGTGAGTTGAGTGAGTGAGTTGAGTGAGTGAGTTGAGTGAGTGGGTTGCGTGAGTGAGTTGCGTGAGTGAGTTGTGTGAGTGAGTTGAGTGAGTGAGTTGAGTGAGTGAGTTGAGTGAGTGAGTTGAGTGAGTGAGTTGTGTGAGTGAGTTGTGTGAGTGAGTTGAGTGAGTGAGTTGTGTGAGTGAG